TTTACAGTAAACAGTATTTAACAATTATAGTCATGCAGTTTCGTGGCTTTTAATCCTTTGAGTCAACATGTGGACAAAGCAATAAAAACTTGATTATGGGGCAGAAGGAAATATGAACGCCACAGACAACATAAAAAATCTTATTGCTGCCCAAGGTGACATGTGAATGGGCAGAGGAGTGGTAGGGACATCCATATTTATTCTTATTCTGGGCTGGCAAGACAAGATAAACCACCTAAAGTTGAACAAAAGAAATAGACATTTAGATATAGGCAACCAGTAGGTGCCTAGTAGATGTGCTATAAATCTCAGTTGAGAAGAAGGATGTAGGAGTGTAAGTGAACTCAGTTCTCACAGACCTTTTGGAGAAATCAATGGATTCAGTCTAAAGTTATAAACCAAGAAATGGGTGTAGAAGCATATTATCTAGAGTTATGAAGGTAAACGTCAGAAAAAATACAAAAGGAAATGTGTCAAATAGTTTGCTTCTGGAATGAAGCGGGAAGAACAGGGCAGGGCCTGTTGTTTTCCTTTACGAGCTATTTTGTACTGTTCGATTTGTTACCATGTTCTTATGTTATTTTGATAATAACTAAAAGTTACAGAGGGCATGGGAATTGATCACCAGACATGGAAAGGCAGAGGGGCTGATTGCCACTGACTCCATCAGTGCCTCATTCTCCCAGGCTCCATCCCCCGGCCACTGGTCACTCTGGAGTTGGATACAGCTCATGATCCAAGGGGAAAATGCAGAATATTCCAGGGAAGGACTGTGATTGGCTCACATGCCCACCCCTTGGGCCAATCCAGGGCGTGATGAACTCTGATTGGCCTTCCCAGGGTCATGTGACTCTCTGCCAGGAAGGTTGAAATATCCCAGGGGGCCGTAGAGCGGTAGAGGAGGAGTTCTCCAGGGGAAGGGCAGGGCTGTTATCGGAAGAAAGGGAGAAGGGATGCTGGGGACCAAACCAACAGACACGCAGGATGCTGAGACTACCATGGGCCAGACGCTGATAGAGGGCCCAGGGTGTGGGAGACATGGGGATGAGTGCAACATACAACTCCTACCGGGAGTCTGGGTGAGGGAGGGAGACAGGGAAACCAGTAGCTGTTACCCAAGCACACCGGGTTCTGTCAGCTGGGCATCCAGAACTCTTATCAATTCCGAAGCCCTCCCTCCCCCCGCCCCAGAGACTCCCAGCTACAGCACAGTGACTGGGGTCCAGATCCCATTTCTGCTCAGGGACTTTTTTTTTTCACCCATCTGAGCCTGTTTCTCCATCAGTAGAATGGGACAGTGATTACAGTTTAGCTATTAGATTGGTTGGAGAGGCCGAGTATAGAGCTTGGCCTGTAGGAGGCCCTTCTCTACCCTCCCCGAATCTCAGGGCCCCCTACCGGCATTGCCAACTTGTCTTAGATAACCTGATTAGCTCCAGCTTAGCTTAAAATCAAAAGATGCTCTTTAGAGTTGTTTCACAATCTGGTCTGTAGAAGAAAACCAGATAATTATCCAAATGCCAAACATTACATAACTGTACCCAAATTGTCAACATATACCTCCACTAACACAGAAGCTCCCTGAAGGCAGGCAAAGCATTAATCATTTTTCTGTCTCTCTCCAGTATCCAGCCTAATAGACACTTCCTCCCCACACCCCAGTCTCATCAAGAGATAATTAGCATGCAGCACTGTGAACGTTGAAGGTGTACAACAAACGGACTTAACCCGCATACATTGTGAAATGCTTACCACAATAAGTTTAGTTTACATGCATCCTCTCTATAGATATGAAAAGAAAAAGAGAAAAACATGTTATTTTCCCTGTGGTGACAAGAACTCTTAAGACCTATGCTTTTAACTTTCAGATACACCATACAGTGGTGTTAACTATTGTTGTCATCTTGTACATTACATCCCTAAAACTTATTTGTCTTATCACTGGGAGTTTGTATCTTTTGAACACCTTCATCCAATTCCCCATCCCCTCCCCTGTCTCTGGTAACCATACATCTGATCTCTTTTTCTATAAGTTTTGGTTTTTAGATTCTACATATAAGTGAAATCATTTAGTATTTGTCTTTCTCTGACTTATTTCACGTAACATAATGCCCTCAAGGTTCATTCACGTTTCACAGATGGCAGGATTTCCTTTTTATGGCTGAATGATAATCCATTGTGTGTGTGCGTGTGTATAACATTTTCTTTATCCATTCACCAGTCAATGGACACCTAGGTTATGTCCATGTCTTGGCTATTTTAAAGAATGCTGCTATGAACGTGGGGGTGCAGATATGTCTTTGACATAGTGTTTTCATTTCCTTTTGATATATTCCCGAAAATGGAATTGCTGGATCATAGGGTTGTTCTATTTAAAATTTTTAAAAATTTGTTATTATTATTATTGAAGTATAGTTGATATACCATATTATATTAGTTTCAGGTGTACAACATAGTGATTTGACAATTCTATACATTATTCAAAGTTCACCATGATAAGTGTAGTCACCATCTGTCACCATACAACATTATTACAATATTATTGACTATATTTCCTAGCTGTACTTTTCATCTCCATGATTTATTTTATAACTAGAAGTTTGTACCTCTTAATCCCATTCACCTATTTTGCCTCCCCCACACCTCCCTTTGGCAACCACCACCTTGTTTTCTGTATTTAAGAGTCTGTTTTTTGGTTTGTTCATTTGTTTTGTTTTTAGATTTGACCTATAAGTGAAATCATATAGTATTTGTCTTTCAGACTTCACTTTGCATAATATCCTCTAGGTCCATCCATGTTGTTACGAATGGCAAGATTTCATTCTTTTTATGGCTGAGTAATATTCCATTGTGTATATATACCACATGTTCTTTATCCCTTCATCTGTTGACAGAAACTTAGGTGGCTTCCATATCATGGCTACCGTAAATAATGCTGCAATAGACACAGGGGTGCATGTATCTTTTCGACCTAGTGTTTTTGTCTTCTTTGGGTAAATGCCCAGTAGTGGAATTGCTGGATCCTATGGTATTTCTCTTTTTAATCTTTTGAAGAGCCTCATCCTGTTCTCCACAGTGGGTGCCCCAGGTTACAATCCCCCTTTTCCCACATCCTCATCAGCATCTGTTATCTCTTGTCTTCTTGATGCTGGCCAATCTGACAGGTGTGAGGCGATACCTCATTGTGGTTTTGATTTGCATTTCCCTGATGATGAGTGATGTGAAGCACCTTTTCCATGTACCTGTTGACCATCTGTACATCTCTGGAAAAATGTCTCTTTGGTCCTTTGCCTGTTTTTAAATTAAACTTCTTGTTTCTTCGCTCTTGAGGTGCATGTGTTCTTTATATATTTTGGATATTAACCCCTTATCAGAAATTATTTGCAAATATTTTTTCCCATTCTGTAGGTTGTCTTTCTACTTTGCAGATGATTTCTTTTGCTGTGCAGAAGCTTTTTGCTTTGATGTAATCCTGCTTGTTTATTTTTTATTTTGTTGCTTGTGCTCTAGGTGTTAGATCCCAAAAATCATTGCTGAGTCCCATGTCAAGGAGCTTTTTTCCTATGTTTTCTTCTGGGTGTTTTATGGGTTCTGGCCTTACAGTGAAGTCCTTAAAGCATTTTTTTTTTAAAGATTTTATTTATTTATTTATTTGAGAGAGAGATAATGAGAGACAGAGAGCACGAGAGGGAAGAGGGCAGAGGGAGAAGCAGACCCCCTGCCGAGCAGGGAGCCCAATGCAGGACTCGATCCCGGGACTCCAGGATCATGACCTGAGCCGAAGGCAGTCGCTTAACCAACTGAGCCACCCAGGCGCCCGTCCTTAAAGCATTTTGACTTAATTTTTGTGAGCGGTGTAAGATAGGAGTCTATAATGGACACTTTTGATAAAGATTTTTTTAAAAAAACACTAAACAGGTAAAGGGATGAATGAGGCCCTCAGAAGGACACTGAGAACAACAGTTCAGTTTGCCAAGATGGCCTCCTGGCAGACACCACAGTGCATTCGAACAGTGGCCAGGGACAAGCAGAGAGGGCAAAATGTGTACCTGGCAAGGGGGCTGGAAGGCAGGACACAGTGGAGGAGGCAGTGGGCAATGGGCCTACCTCACTTGTTCATGCAACAGGCATCTATTAGCCCACCTACCCTGTGGCGGACACCAATTACCTGGGATATATCAGCAGCAAACATGAATCCCCCCACGCCCAGGCAGCTGATATCCAGGGTATAATGTGTGGAGAGCAGCAATAGGCCCCGGAGGAACCTGGCCTAGGCATCCTCATGGCTGCATCTTCCTGGTGATGCATTTGTAATAATAATATTAATTGCAATAACAACAGCAGTTATATAGAGAACCTACTGGATTAGTCAAGACCACCTCAGTTTTAAGTCATAGAAACTCAACCTGAACTGGCTGAAGCCAATAAAACACAGAAATTCGGTTTGTGTGTTAATTCCTAAAAATACCAGGGGTTAACTGGCTTCTGCCATGACCGGCTGCAGGAGCTCCAAAGACATCATTAGCATTCTGTGTCCTGCTCCACCTCTGGGCTCTGCTGTCTTCTGACATCATTCTCAAATGGCCAAATAGTAAAAATGGCCTCTGATAGCTCCAAGCTAATGATCTCAGCAAAGAGCAAGCACCTCTTTCCTTATTGTTCCAGAAACTCCAGGACACTGTGACAAGGACCACTCCCACTTGGGTCTCCTGCCCAGGCCTGAGCCAGTACTTGAGGTCAATATTGGGATGTGCTGATTGGCCTGGGTCTGGTGACAGGCATGGGGCTGGTGTGGGGGACAGCCCTATATACTCAGTAGGGACTGAGAATGGAAGAGGGAGATTTTCAAGAGAGCAGGGCTGTACTTGGAAGAGGTGACATTGAACAGAGAGCATCAACAATGGTGTCTATGCCTACTATGTGCCAGGCACAAAACCAAGTGTCAGTTAAGCCTCTCAACAGTCCTCTGTGGTAAGACCATCCTTGTCCCCATTTTACAGGTGGGGAAAGTGGTGCGGAGAGGCTGAGCACCTTTGCAGCATCACCTACTAGTAAGTGGGGCATCAAGGAGCACAGACTCTTCTCTACCAGATGGAGGTTAGTGGGGCTCTTGAATACAGGGGGAGGTCAGAGAGGATTTGACAGATGAAACGCAGTGAATGGCTGGCGGGGTTGGTGGGGTAAGATAAAGGGGAATGATCTGATGAATTTGGCACTGTCCCTGTCCCCCTACCTACTCCCCGTCCCAGGGCGATGCTGTAATGCAGCTTTCTCTTGTCCCACGTTCTCTGCAACAATGTAGTGCTGACCCTGGAGCCACGCTGCCTGTGCTCCCCAGGAAATGGGAGCCTTTGGTTGGGGATTGAGTGCTGCTGACTTAGAGGGGGAACTGCAGGGGCAAGAGGGAGGGAAAAGAGGGGATGGAGGGGAGGATGGGAAGCAATACGAGGTGATGTGGAACCACGTGGTCACTGCTTTACGTGGGAAACGTGCCTCAAATGGTCCAAGAGAGGGAGGCGAGGGATCTGTCCTCCCACCTTGTCTCCTACTGCTCAGAGTGCGTCCCTGAGAATGAACTCCCTCCATGCTTCAGGGGTGTGCTCTCTAGCCCCTTTGGTGGCCACGTGGGAGCCAGACCCTTTACACTGGGATGTGGCCCGGAAAGGGTCAGCCTGTGGGGAGACAGCTGGTCAGCTTCAGGGTGGAAGAATCCCCAGCAGAGGCAGAGCAAGAAGCCAGGAGTCTGGTGGACAGGGGAGCAGACAGAATCTGTAGAGGCAAGAGATGCACGTGATACCCCCGCATTTCGCATCTTATGATACACCTACATCTCCGTGCCTCGGTTTCCCCCATAGTAAAATGGGGATAACAGCATCTCCCCTAGGGTTGTTGAGAAGACTTGAGATAATGCATGTGAAGTACTCAGCAGTGTCTGCACCACCACCACCCCGCCCCAGGAGGTGAACTGGACTGGCCGTGCGTTGACTTTGCCCAGAGAACTTGGGGAAAGCTTCATGAAGGGTGCGGTACTGGCTAAGCTGTATTAGCCAGGATTCTTTCAGGCTCAAATGAAGGAGAGGAAAGCCCAGAGGCGCATCTGGCTTTGGCACAGTTGGACCCAGGGATGGCTCTGAGTCCCTAGGGAGTTGACCCCTGTTGAGTTCACCGCATGTACACTTGACCTCCAAGGGCTGACCTCAGCAGAGAGAAGACCAGGAGGGACAGATCTGGCTGAAGCACTTGTGAGAGGAGACGTGGGACTAAATCAGGGCTTACCAACTTGAACTCCTCCGACTACAGGGATGGGGCCATGATTTGTTAGTCCCACGCCAGAAAAAGAAAAAGCAAGTCTCTGGTTTGGGCTGGAGTGCTTCAACTCCAAATCTTCATACAAGCTTATTCCGTGATTATCAGCCCAGGTAGTTCTGGATGCGTCTTTGTGTGTTTGGGAAAGTCAATTCTGGCTTCACGAATGCAGTCTGTTTAGTAGATATAATCTCACAGGGTGGAATCCAAGCGGAAATAAATGACACGAAAAGATAAAGAACGTCCTGACCATCCCTCCCGGCAAGGACGTCTTTGAGCACCAGGGTTCCACGAGGCCCCTCCCCAAGCAGTCCCAGGTCGTTAAGAACACCCACACACCCGAGCTACATCATTGCCTTACTTGTGTTCCCAGTGCAAGCCAGAGGATCCCTCAGCCGTGTGACTTTGGACAAGTCATTCTACCCCTGTGACCCTTGGTCCCCTCAACTGTAAAATGAGACTGATGTCTAGGCACAAAAGTGGAAATGTATGCCTACACAAAGACTTGTGTTCAGTGTTCAAAACCGCTTTATTTGTAATAGTCACAGTCTGGAAATAGCCTAAATGTCCACCATCTGACAGATGGCTGAGCAAACTGGTACATCCCGACAGTGGAAGGTGTCTCAGTAGGAAGGCATGAAACTACTGAGGCGCACAGCATGGATGAACCTCAAAGACATGTTGAATCAAGCCAGACACAAAAGAGTACACACTAAATGATAATATAAAATTCTAGAAAAGGCAAAATCAATCTCTACAACCAAGGCAGGTCCTAGGGGTTGTCCTGGAGCTTGAAATGTTCTCTATCTCTATGGCAGGGGTAGTGACAAGGGGGTACACATTTGATAAAACTTATGACTTGGGCACTTAAAATGGGTAGGTTCTATTGCATGTAAAGTTTATCTCAGAACTGATTTTTTTTTTTTTTTAATGAGACCAAAGAAAAATACTGCTTTATTAGGACCCTTTCTATGACAGAAACCCAACTCAGGATGATTTGAGCAAAAAAGAAATGCATTGGCTCATATAATGAGGTTAATCCAGAGGTGTATTTAGCTTCAGGCATGACTGGATCCAGGGGCTTACTGATGTCCAGACAGCATATTCTCTCCATCTATGTGCTTTTTCCTCTTTGTTGGCTTCGACCTCAAGTAGAGAACAGGATGGCCACCAGCAGCTCCATCAACCTGGCAAACCCCATGAAAAACAAATGCCTCTTTCCCCATAGTTGCTGCAAAACGTCCAAGAGGGAGTCTCCATGTCCATCCTGGGATCCATGCCTGCTTCTAAAGTCGGGGTGGGTGAGAGGTGATCCTCTAAAGGGGAAGAGGCATTATCAGGAGAAAGGGCCATGGACGCTGGGTAGGGAGAGCTGACAGTTGGCCATCACATTTCTCCACATCCTCAGGGGGTGGTAGTATCGCCCATTCCTACCTCCAGCCACCTCTACAGGGGCCAGGCATTAAGAACGGGCCCCAAACTCATTCAAGGCTCAAATGTGCTTTTCTGTGACGTCACAGACCTGCCTGTTAGTTAGATATAAGAGTCAAAACAGAAAGCGAGCACTAATCTCTTCCCCACCAGCCAAGGCAAACAGAAGGCCCTTCCTGCCTGTGCTGGGCTGTCTGCACCCAAGGAGGCTGGCGCTGGAGGGAGGAGCACTCTGCCACAGCTACTCTGGCCCAGGCCCAGACGGAACCGCCTTGGAGTTGGCGTCCGGACTTGCAGGACGAATGTCAAGGAGGGGAAGGAGGCCTCCGTGGGCTCTGGGTCTCGGCGGGCCTGACCTGAGAGGAATGCAGCATCTCAAGCCAGAGCCACCATCCCTCCAGGGTCTGGCCAGGGCAGGAGGGCCAGAGAGGAAGCAGAAGGAAAGGTCATCTTAGTAGAGTTAAGGACGGAAGGCACCATCCAATACACTGAGACCCAAACCTTACTTCCTGAGCAGTGCAACTACATTAAGGGAGCATCTTCTCCATGCCAGACACCTCCCAGGGTTCTCTGTTGAAGTGTCCTCCTGGAAGGGGCGAGAAAGGGAGCAACGACTTCATATGTGTATTCAGAAGCCTTATATTCAGACACATTTCTAAAGGGCACTATTATGCCCACCAACCAAATGAGGCAACAGACACAGTAGTAGGGGGCTTTACCCAGGGCCCCCAGCTAAATAGCTGCCCCTGATCAGACTCCTGGGCAAAGACCTGTCCCTCCCCACTCCCCAGCTCCAGGAGCTCAAAGCTCTGGCCTCAGCCTCATCGCTCTAGGCTGGGAGTTGAGCTGAGGTTATTTTTGACCCAGGTAAGCCAAGGCAGCTTAGGGCCATCTCCCAACCCAGTCCCTCAAGGAGCATGGGCAAGAAAAGCCTGAGCTGAGGTCGACCGCCCTGTTTCCCACCAAGGTGCTGGCTGAGTCTGCCTGCCCAACCATCCTGTTTTCTGGGAAGCAGGTTAAATGGATGTCATTGCCAAGAGTGGGCAGTCTGCTGCAAAATAGCTGGTGGGGGGTAGGGGGAGAGCCAGACTAGAGCCAAGGCCAACAAGGGAGGGCGTGGCCCAGGCTCAGGCCCTCATTGCCCAAGAAAGCCCGTGGGCCTGGCCCAGAGCTGCTGGGCTCTGGGAAAGTAGTGTTCTCAGCTCCAGGCTCCACCCATCATGTCTGAGGCTGGCTGGCCCTCCAGCTCTGCAGACTGGCCCAGGAACAGCCGACTGCTTCCTGAAGCTCACAATGGGCCCGCCCATGAGTTCCCTGCATTGGCAGCCTGCCCAGGTGGCCCTCCAGCCAGGTTCCTGGAGGCTAGCTCTGTAGGAAAGAGGGAGGGGCAGGGACAGCCTTCTGGAGACCTAGGCACCCCCAGCAGGGGTTCTGACCCTGAGGCTTGCCAGCTCAGAGCAGGGCCCAGATGAGCAAGCCCCATGCAGGCTGGGCTCCTTCCTGGACACCTCTATCCAGGCAAGGAGCAGGGAACCAGGGGCCTCTGCCAACCCCCCAGCTGCGCCACCTAGGCCACGCCTCTGGTGTGTTCTGAAAATGGGGTTAAATCTTGCCCTGCCCAGAACTTGGATCCCAGGCCACATGGCAGGCTGAATGGGGGCAGCTGTGGGCGCATGCCGTCCAGGTGCACACTCACATCAGGAAGACCCAGGGACAGGAACCCAGCCTCCCTGGGGTGCAGATACCTCCTCCATGAGACAGTAGCACCCACCCACTCACCTCCGGTTACTAGATGACCAAAAGCTTCAGTATTAGTAAGCATCATGATATGCTTGTTAGGACCATATGCTCATTATAAGTAATTATTACCGAAACACTGGCCTCAGGAGCCAGAAGCTACAGCGCTGAACCCCAGCTCTGCCACATCCTAGCTGCGTCTTCCAGGGGGTCTCCTGATCACTTGTGCCTCAGCCCATCCTATACAATGGAGATCCAAAGAGGACTCTGAGCGGCAGAGGAAGTATCGGACATGAAATTCGGCCAGTTGCCAATGGTCACCTCTCCTCGAGCAGACTCTGAAGGCAGAGCCGCAAGAATCTTCCAGCTCTAACGTGTGGCCATGTAGCCAGAGAGTTCTCCCGAGGAACAGCAGACAGAGACACCAGTCCCTAGGTGCACTCTGTCCCCCATCCCTGGCAACCCCAGGTCCAACCTGCCTTTCTGGGGAGGAGGGACAGGCACTGACACTTGTGGAAGGCTCCCCAGATTCTTAGTGTCACCAGAGTCTAGGTGCCGCAGCTCACTTGGAGATCCAACAGGACAAAGCCTGCAGTTCCAGCCTCCTCACCAACTTCATCAATCTTGGTTCAGAAGAGAGACCTAGTGTGGCTCTAATACCCGCCGCCCGCCTGAGAGTTCTGAGCTTCCCGGCTGCAGGCAATTGGCCCTTCCCACTTGGCAGAAAGAAAAGAGAGACTGGCTCCCAAGGGCCATGGCTTAAATGGGTTATAAGCCTCACGCCTTTTAAAAGCCCCAATCCTGCTAACTGGGCGGGGGTGTTATGCACGTAGGGGAAAAGTGCTGGAAGGATCTATTTCATTAGCAGACATTATCTCTAGGCATGGGCATTTTTATAAGCCTTTTCATCCTTCTGTATTTTGAAATGCTCTACAGTGGAAGGCGGTTCTTTTATAGTTGGGGGAGAAAACAGTACTCAGCTTTATTTTTCATGTAGGACCTTTTTAAAAAAAATTGATTATTATTTTTTTTTTTGGCAAGTGTTTTGTGTAAAGAAGGAGGAACACACTCAGGAATAAGGAGGTTTGTGGGGGATGGAAGGGCAGGGCAAAGGGGCCTCAGGGAGGAACAACTGATTTAAAGTTAGCAAACACTTAGCTATGAGGAATGACCAAGCACCCTAGGACCATCGTAGGTGATGGAATCTCATTTCGCAAAAGCCCCATCCACCTCTTACCAAGTGAGAAACATCACTCTGTACCCTGCCCCCCACCCCCAACCTCACGTGAACCTTTACCTTGACGCTGTCCCTTCTCCTGGGCAGAAGAATGCTGAGGCTCCTGAGCAAACCCAGCCCTTTAAAAATGGTCTCTGGGAAAGCTGGTGTGGAGGCCCAGCTAGGAGGACGAGAGCCTAGGGAGCAAGGGGCCAGGCTGGCCGGAAGGATGATCATGCGGTCAGGGTCCTGCAAACAGCCATCTTCTCTGGTGACAGGAACTTGTGAGTCTGCACCTGGAAACCCAAGAAATACCTAGAGGATTAATTTCCCTTGCTGACCTGTGAGGTCGATGAGCCCTGGGGTGGACCCCAGGAGCTCAGAGTCCTGCTTGCTGCCTGTTCATCTCCCTGTCTATCCATGCATGGGCAGGCCACCTGCTCAGCCTCAGCAGGGGGTGGGGGGAAGACTCTGTTGCTTTGGGATCTAGGGACATTCTTGTGAACTGGCGTTCCTGCGCTGAGGGGGACATATCATAAATTTGGTATTTCTTCTTGACAACCCCCCAGCAAGCAACCCTAACTCCACTCAAGACAAGGCCTTGGCTCAGCCAACATATCTGTGGGGTGGGCTGGAAAAGGTGAGGGTGGGGGCATCTGCTGGGAAGTAAGGAGCCCCAGAAGGTGAAACTGGGATAGAGAACATCCAGCCAAGAAAAAGCAAGCTCCCGGGGCACAGCAGGGATTGGTGGGGAGAAGCCCTCTGAATCCACCGGGGAGTGTATTTTCAAAATGGCGCTCAGGGAGCAAGCTGGGCTCCCTCTGTTTTAAAACATAGTACAACTTCCTGCCCCTAAACAGTTCCAACTTCTCAGGAGAGGTAAGTATCCAGGCAAGCCCAACACTGCTGTTCTTGACATAACTGGCCCAAAAGGTGCCCATCCTTGGGCCCCACACATGCAGCCGGGCTCCCGGAACCTTCACCGCACACAAACTGGGGAGACTCTCTATTCTCCTGAGTTCTAATCTGCGCAGGACTATCTCAATGCTCAGCCTTCCCTAATCCTCCACCAAAAAAAAAAAAAAAAAATTGTAAAAATATATGCAAATCAACACACCGTCCCAACAGAATTGTTTTAATAATACCCTCTCGTTTCAAGAGGATGGAGGAGGACATCCCAATCGGCCCCCAGGAAGCCCTTCCTGTACCAGAGCGGCCAGGTGGGTGAGGAGGGGTGGCTTGGCGGCCCGATGCACACTGCAAGAACAATAAGGATTTTTAGGGGCATTATGACTGAGTCAGAAAACACAGCTGCCCCTGAAAGTCCCTCATTTTTCTTGCTGTCCTTGAACACTCTCCAGGTAAGTAAGCAGTCCACCGGCTGGCCCAGGGGAGCCAAGGTGGAGATGGATGACCCTCACCTGACCCTGGCCCACCACCCTCTGGCCCCTGAAGGCTCTGTGGCGGGTAGGGTAGCTGCTGGGTCCCCACGGTGGCACGACTCTCCCCCAGGTGTGGCCTGGCAGGTGGCCAGCCTCACTGCCCCACAGCATGCCCAGGAATGAGCAGCCTTTGCTCACCCCGAGCCAACTCTAAACCCAGGGCTTTCTGCCCCCAGAGAGCGGTGGGCCAGAATGCACAGGAATCCCAAGTGGCCGAGTGCAGTCCCAAGAACCAGGGAATGTGGTAAGACCTGGAAGAAGGGTCATCTACCTGGCCCTTGTCGTCCCGTGGGGTGTGGACCCATCTTGTGGAGATTGAGCTCCTGACAAGCGAGGGAAAGTCACAGGCCTGACATGGGATGGGAACGTGCAATGGGTACACAGGCAAGTCAGCTCCAGACTTCCTGGGAGGCCAGGCTGGGTGCGGGTAGAGAGGAGAGTATGGGGTGGGGGGCGGTCATAGTGGCTCGACTCCTAAAATGGGCCCAATAGGAACTAAGTTCCCACCATCTCTCCCTTTCCAGAGGCAGTAAGAGAATTTCAGCTCTCTTCTAGGAACCAAAGGGTCAGCTCCTTGAAAAGCCGACGGTCACTGGCCCTCTGTCCCTGGTGGGAGGCAAGAGGGTGCAGCGTGTGAGACCCAGCACACTGTGGGGGGAGCTGCTGTGTGAACAGGGATCTCTGTGCAGCCTTCCCCTGCTCTAGCACTTTCTGCCCACTTCCTCGGAGGTGGATTCTGGAAGAGGCAACAGCGTCAGGCAGGCCCGAGTCAGGAACATAGGTCCCCGAGCCCTACAAACACACCCTATGATGGGCAAAGACAGCTGCTATGTCCCAGATGGTTTTCAGGTTCAATCAACCAGCTGACAGGCTCTGCTGGGAAGTGCAGGTGGGCAGAAACGGGGGGTGAGGTGAGGGGATGGTCAGAACGTGGCCAAGAAGAAAGGCGAGAGGATGGTGACCCCTTTCTTTTCTTATGGGAGGATGAAAAGGGCTTCCAGAATCAGAGCCTGGTTTACAGAAGGATGAGCCCTTCTGCCCACTCCCCCCAGTCTGGGCAGGCCTCTGGGGTGGCAGAGGCTCCCCTCCACAGACCCTGGGCTTTTGACTCCACGGAACCTCGCGGTGCAGAATGCCACCCACCCACGGCTAACTTGTGCCCTGAAGCCAGGCCATCCCAGCCAGGGTCCCAGCTCAGCTGGAACCTACCCCAGCCTGACACAGCACACACCCCTTGGGGGCCTGTCACCAGTTGTGCTGTGTGGCCCCGCTGTGGTGAAAACAGACCCGGTGGCATGCTCTGGTTAGTTGCTGTGTGACCGGGTATAAGTTACCTGGCTTCTCTGTGCCTTGCCTTCCACATCTGTGAACAGGAATAAGCAGCCCACTTTGCGGGGTGGTGTAAGGACCGAAGGGAAGTATACAAAGCACTTAGCAGGTTCCTGACAGAAGTTTATCACTCTCTCCAAGCAGTTTCCCCCTTCCCCTCAGACCCCAAGGGCGGGGGCTGGGCCAGGACCCCCTGAAAGTTGCCAAAGACTCATGTCTTAGAGAACTCCCCCCTGCTGGGAAGAGCAACCGGGATGGAGGTCCAGGCACAGACCTGGCTGCCCAGGGAGCACGACGGCCGTGCCTTTGCCCCACACCACAGGTCCTTCCTTGTTCCGACCGAGAGGAAGTGTGCCCAGAAACCCAGCCGCCAGGCCATGGCCTCACCCTCGCCCGACTATGTTATGACAACTGTCCTCTTGCCCACAGCCTTCTGCCCTAACCAACATCACAGCCACACGCTCCTCCGGCAAAACCCAAGCTGTCCCCCACACCCGAGGACCGAAGCCATCTGAACCATCTGATGCCACGACTGCATCGGGCTTGGCCCGCTCAGAAGCTCCAGCCTGCAGTTTGCACAACTTCTGTGTGAGCTGGTCCCGCCGCCTGGGGTGCCCTGGCTCCACGGCGGACGGAGCGAGAGGGTGAAACCAGCTCCCAGCTTCGCAGCCACAGAAGCTTTGCTGGGCTATCCAACCCCTCTGCGCTTCAGTTGGCTCCTCTGCGAGATCCGGGTAACTACCTGTTTCAGGGGCGGCTGGGAGGATTGAAGTTCGTGCCCATCAAAGGCTTAGAACTCTGCCTGGCACAAAGCATTCCATTGGGGTGAGCCATCCTGACCCACCCCCTGCTGTGTTCTTCTAGACTCAGCTTCTCTCTTCTGGGCGACCTTTCCTGCCCCCGGCCACGTTCTTTCTTTCTTCCTGCTCCCCCTGGGCCCCTGCTTGTGAAGCTGCTTTACCTACTGGCCCCTGGCAGCGCAGTCCTAAAACCACATACATCCCAGTCACTCGCACGCATCACCAATGGTGGCTCTGGGGGCCCAGTCTGCATCGCAGACAGGCTCCTTGTGTGATGCTCAGGGACACCCGAGCTTAAGAACCACCGCTCAGGCCATCCACTCACCATGGGGCAGGCAGTGGGGTCGGGGTGGGGGGCTGCCCTGGGTCGTGGCCAGAGGACGCCCCCCAGCCATGCTAGGCACATGAAAGTGACCCACTTGGGCATGGCTGACAGTGGAGCTCACCCATTCCTGGTCCTCGGGCCTTCCCTGAGCCTGGCCTGTGCTGATCATACATTGATGACCAGGGGCCTGCGCCACCCCCACCCTGCTGCTGGGGGCTGAAAAGCCATCCAGGCTCTCAGACAAGCTGCAGAGTAAAGAGCTCCACGCTGAATGTGGCGTCCCTAAAATAGCCAGCAACCCACAAAACCATGGTGGAAGGAAAAAGAAAAGCCAACCAAGAGTTATCATCAGCCCTTGTTTGGAATTCGCTTTAGAAAGAAAAGTATGTGCCAGTCCCACCCTGATGAGGGAAGGAAGTGGTCAGGCAGAGGGCAACAGTCCTGAAATGTCTTGGGGGAACCCCTCCTCTGGAGAAGCTACTGAGCACACAGACAGGGATGCTGGGGCCCAAGGCAGGGATTGGCTGAGGCAGTCTGGCCCTGGGGCCTGGAGAGGCCAAGCACGCTTCAAGTCAGGGGACAATCTTCCCTGGCAGAGCAAGCTGGGTCAGGCCAGGTGGAGGGATGCTGGTGCTCCAACTTAGGGGAGTGGGCTCTGCAGGCCCTCCTTCCAGCACCTACCCAGTCAGCCCCAGGACAGCTGCTCTGGAGGTGGGAGCCTGAGGGCTCCACTGGACCAGAGCCTCTGCTGCAGCAGAAAGCCGCCTTGGACTCGCTGGCCCCATCCGCCCTTGCTGGCTGTTCACAGGCTGGGATGAACAAAGCCAGGAGACCTGAAACTCATCCATCAGAGTCCCTGGGTTTATGATAACCCATCTCTCTCAGCCAGAAATTCTTTTGCTAAGAACACCTCAGCTCCTAAATGCTTACACTCACCCCTTCAGCTCCCCACCCCCCCCAAACTCTCCAGCCCTGCCTGGCCTGATGCCGATCGGCCAGTGTGCCTTGGGGTTGGCTCGGCTCCCCCCCGGCCCCGCCCAGCCAAAAAAACAACTCATCAGTGAGTGGAGGTCCAAGTGCCCCTGGGCAAGGCTGGCCCGGGGCCTAAATGCATCTGTCCACACAAATACCCACTGCTGCTAATGAGGCTGGTCCGGGGAGGCAGCGCCCTCCTCTCGTCCACAGCTCCAGACCATCTGGAGGAGCCAAAGGCAGGCGTGGGTTGGCCGCCAGAGCCACAACTTTTATCTCTTTAAGGGAGACTCCATGGGGGAGGGAAACAAGACAAGCAGAGAAGGCATGCAGACAGCTCAGCTAACAGTATGGAAAAGAAGAGTCTCCCTTTAAAGATGCATTTATCCTTCTCATGGGAGTTGGCGGACTGTGGGCCCGTGGGCCAAACCCAGACCACCTCTTGTTTTTATATCTAAAGTTTTATTACAACACAGGTGCACTCATTCAGGTAGCATCTGTGACTGCTTTCACACCGCAACAGAAGAGTTGCCACACAGAGTAACCCTATTTGGCCCCTCACAGGGAAAGTTCGCCGACGCCAGCTTCTGGTGAGTATTCACTCAGTACCCAGTATACTTCAGAGAGAATACAACAGTGAGCAAAACCTCTGGGCCCTCATGGGGCTTAAGGCCTGGTGAGGGAAGGGCTCTGAGGACCGCGAGGCCTGCTGCTTGGGTGTGCTGAAGGAAAAACATGCCCCAGAAAGGCTGGGGCTCTAACCCCGGCCTCGCGCGCAGAGCTGCACTCTTCCCACTGGAGTCCTCAGACTGTATCTTAGAATTTTCCAGGGTTTAAAAAGTCACAAGGTGCACATACCACCTGTTTGGCCACACTCCAGCAGGGCAGCACCCCTAATTAAACACATCCATATCTCTGCAGTGAAACCCATGGATATTCACCCTTCCCGAGAGAAATAGAGCCTCTCACCGTCTCAAGTCCGTGTGGGTCAGGCTTTCCCATGAAATTAGTTATAACAACAAACTTTCGGTTTGCAGGGTTTTTTTGGCGTTCAGAATTCCAGGCAAGGACCGGGAGCCTGCACCTGTGAAGAGCTAAAAAGGACAAAAGCTGGGTTCCCAGCTTCATTCCCCGCTCTTGGCTGGAGATCCCTACCCCTGCAGACTGCCCCCGTGGCCACCGGGCACAAAGCGAGCACACACGAGGCGTGCCGAGAACACGGACTGAATGAACTATCAATCACCAGAACTTCTTTCCTCAAAGAACAGCCACTAACATTTCTGCTGACAAATGTCAAAAAGGAGTATTTAAACCCTGCCTTCATCGACCTGCTCTACTGTCAGGAGCAGAGAGAAGCTGACACAGATGAATAATTTTCCAACTGCATTTACCTGAGATAAGGAAAATGAAACTCTTGTCTGGACACTGTTGCTGCCTTCTGGGCAGGTACACGAGGTGTTTTGCGGGGAGCAGGTGAGGGGGTGGTAGCCAAAACTGAAAACACATGATTTTTTTTTTTTCCTCTGTGGCTAAAGTTCCATTTGGAAATCGACAATAATTTATTTCATCACAAGTTCCCAACAGCTAATTAGAAAAATGTACTAATTAAGTAATAATCTGGTTTCAGACGTTTTAATTATATTCCTTTGGAAAAGCAAAAAAAAAAAAAAAAAAAAATCCACCCCACTACATATTTTTATGTATATATAATTTAATAGCACTTCTTCCAGAGTGTAAAACATCCAGAAAGTCTAAATTATAAGTTTGAAAAACCAAAAACCTCAAACCTTACAACAGTCATACCGGAAGAATATTTTAATACCCATTATCTATAAACAGTGGAATCATCTACAAAATGCAGTGCTTCTGCAGTAAAGGGTGATAACTGGAAAATATTTCAGCAATAACTCCCATCAGCTGTCCTGGAATTAAATGGATTTCCCCCCTTTTCATGCAACAGGGTTTTGGCATTCTGAAATGTCATACCCTCTGTTTCTTAACATAGCACTCCTACAAATGACTCCCAGAAATTTCCTCATCGCCTGAGATTTCTAAACCCCAAATTGGGAAAGAGGTGCTGGGCTCTACTGATGAGCTCTGCCTACCCCGACTCTGGGCGGATTTCTAGGAGGGGTTTTACTCCACGATTGGGAAACATGGTGAGCCTGACAAAACGTCTGGGGTAAGAAGGTGAGAGGGGTTGCTGGCGCGGAAAGTGGTCTGCACGCTGGAGAGCGCCCTGGACAGGGCATCCCTCCCGAAGCCGACAGCCTGGAGGGGCGTGGCCAGCGGCTGTGGGAGGGGCCAGGCCAACCCTCCCAACCAACCAAAGCTGCCTGCGACCTCCAGGACTATATTTAGTCAGGGCTGACTGCCCTTCAGGGGGAGGGGCTTGGGGAGGCTGAGCACTGCCACCTGTGAGCAGCAGCACCCGCACGCAGCCCTGCCACCGCGGTGCAGACGTGCTGGGACAGCACAACTCCTGGTGGAGAGGACGCAGGCATCCTCTCTGGCAGTTCCCCCAGCCCTCGGCAGGGCACGTGCTGCCCATCTGACAAATACCGTTTGCCCGACAAGGAGGGACCATGCCGGGCACGCATGGCCTGGGCACAGGCGGGGCTGCCCAGAGCACCAGGGGCCCGCACTGACATGGGCCACTCTAGTTTCACTTTCCGGTCTTCATCCTGGGCCACCTCTCACCCTAATGCAAGAAAATATCCTTTGAATGCCAAGAGAGAAAGATCCTCAAAAATGTTCCTTGTCATTTCCTTTTTTTTCCGAGGACACGGTTTTCCTCTGAAGACCCGGTAACAGGCTTTGGTGAAAACCCCAACTGCGTAACTTCAGTCCCCCGGGCTGTTCAGCTCTAATATGATTACACATCTAAATGCAATAAACGGGGCAAAGTGGTATTATTTTTCTGGGAAAAACCAACATCATAAAAGGGTCTTTATTGAATCAAGGGCCCAAGAACTGTTCTCTTGCCTAATTATGGCTCCCCAGTGAACGAGGCTGGGTTTCCAGGCAGGAGTCCTCACAACTCCCCAGCCCAAAGGGCAATGGGATATTTGTCACAACTTGTCTAATTACAAAATCCACCGAAAGGACCAAAGGGAGAATGCCAAGGTAGGTTGACAGCAGCCCCTTCACCCACTTGGGCGCTGGAGATGGGGAGCTGGTTCTCCAACCTACTTCTATTATAAGGAGCACCCCCCTGCTCCATCCCCACCCCTCACATTCAAGTCAGGATCCTGGACCCTGCCCCTTTCCACTGTCACTGCTTAAGTGGGTTTCCAGCATCCAGCCTGCCCCTCTCTATCCTCATCAATATAGAAAGGGCCCACTGTCGAAATGTGGTATTTTGCCAGATGGTTTAACATTCAGTGATTTGGCCAAGGTTAATGTGCATCCAGAACTGACTGACAATGAACGCTTACTATCACCAGACACAGAAGGAGGCGCAGAGGCAGGGGGAGAGGGAGACTCAGGCCAGGGGAGGGTGAACCCTCCACATGGACCGGCTGGGAGCAAGTGGTCTGGTTGACTTTTCTTAGATATACAGTGGTCTGGCCAGGCAAGTCAGAGACTAACATTTTGCTCATATGCAAGTCCGGCTTCCAAGTATCTGTTTAATTGCCTCAAAGTTCCAAGAGCAGAGACACATTTTTTTTTTCCATGTTTTTAAGCTCACCACAGCAAGCTCTGCAGGAAGGGATTCAAGAGAATGTTATCTCCACTCTTCTACTAACCTGTCTCTTCAAATAGGCTGGAGCACAAGGATTGCATGAGCCCACCCCTGGCAGAGTCAGAGACACTCCCCGCCCCCCCCCTCCAAGGGTGTACCCAGAACATCTCCCTGAAGAAGCAATGACTTGCTTTTCCGCCCCCACCCCCACCCCCAGCAAGGACTTGCTTTTCTCCCAATATTTTCTCCCCAGATATTAAGCCAGCAAGCAGCTTGCCAGGCTCCAGTCGTCTTTCCTTGATCTCACTGGGGTTTCTTCACTGGCCCCATAGGTCCTGGGATGAACTATGGTGTCACTTGAGAACAGCTACAGGTACTCCCCTCCCACCATGCACCCACAAGGCCTTTCACACACGTGTTTTCATTTGATCCTCTGATCAAACAGAGTAGGCGTGTGTCATCACAGCCAGGAAAACTGAGTCCCAAGAAGGCATGTCACTGGTCCAAAGTCACTCACAGCTAGTCCATGGGAGAGCCTGGTTTCCAACTGCAAAGCCTATGCCCTTTCGCCAATGCCTGCCTTCAGCAGGAAAGGATTTTGTCTTCCACCAATCTCTGGAAAGCCAGGTGCCATCAGCAGATAAGCAGGAATCCTACTTCCTTGTGTTTAGGAAGAGTGGGGGAGGTCTACCTTGCAAAGGACATGGAGAGAGAAAACTGAAGACCAGGATGAAAGCCTCAGTCACCAAGAAGGAGAAGCTAGTTTTTCCCTTGAACCCCACACCCCCCCAGGGCAGAAATCCAGTGAGAGGAAGTGAGTTTCATGAGAATGAACCACAAAGTCTTCACAGACTGATCCAAATTTCCCAGCTGCACATCTGAGTCCCTTCCCCACCCCTCCCAACCGCAGCCCCAGGTTCCAAACTTGTGCCCTCTGTGCCTCCTGGCTCAGAATCGTGGAAGAGAAGTTAAGGCTACCAGGGGGGTATGCTGAATTCAGTCCAATTCCCCCCCATGGACAGAGAAGGGGACTCTCAGCTCGGAGTGGCAGAGCAGAGATTAAGATCAGGAGGTGGTTCTTTCCACATAGCACCTCCCTCCCCAGTTCTCCTGGACAGCAAACACAAGGGATCTGGCTACAGGGCGATTTCAAAATTCCCCAGACCTTGCCAAAGGGAGGAAGGAGGGAGCTGCGCAGTGGGTGAGAAGTCACCTGCTCTGGGGATGTCTGTGAGCCCAGGCCACTGCTTGAAGGCCTCTAAAGCACTGAAAAGATTCTGGTCTCTCACAATCACTGGTTTGAAACACAAAATCAAAACATTACTGAGCCATAAAAAAAAAAAAAAGTTAAGGAAGTCCAACAAAATTCTGGTTTTTATTTCCCGTGTTGATTACCCTGCAGTGTATTTTGGAATATCAACTTATTTCCTTCCACCACCCACCCCCACTTTGATTCTGTACCCTGCTTCACTGGTCCCACTAGAGTGCATTTAGTGAGCCACAAGCCAAAAGCAGCTGTGGCAGTTCATCCTTCCTGGGGCCCTTTCATGAAATGTGCTCAGCGTCAGAACCAGAATCTTCGGGCCTTTCAGGCTGGAGGTACTGCAGAGCAGGTGTTCGAGGTGGCCACATTGGCACATCCAGGGTACTTTAAGACTCTGTGCTGCCTAATCCAGCCCCATCCACCTCCCGTTCCACAGCTCACGCTTTCCGGCTCCCAACCTGGGAAGCCCTACTACACCCAGCCATGAAATGCTGGGGAAGACTCTCCCCCTCTGAGCCTCAGCCTCAGGTACAAGAGGACTCAACGATACCACTCAGTTGCTCTCAGAGCTGGAGGACAAATCCCAGTGGGCAGCCAGGGACCATGCCGTATTACAGCTATAATCCTAGGCGGCCCCGGCCCCTACACGTGGTTGGTAGACAAGAAAGCCTGAGCCGGGGGAAGGAGGTTCCCAGGCATCATCCCCACTTTAGGATTACAAAACTGCTATTCCCAGCGGGTTAAGTAACTTGCCCAAGGCTACACGTTAGACAGCAATAGAGACAACCTTCTAACCTGCCAGACCCACCAGCCTGAGGTCTCAATCACTCTGCACCCTTCTCAACTGACGCGTATGCAGATTCCAAATAAGAGAGCAGAGGAGATGAGCACCAGTCAAAGGTCCACTGGTGTGTGCCAGGCACTGAACCTCCATTTTTCCTATAAGCCTCACCACGAAGTGACGATGTAGGTAGCAAACTCTTGTTCACAAAGGAAGAAATGGGCACAGAGAAGTTACTGGTCCAAGGTAAGTGGCAGTTAGGACTCCCAACTCAACCCGCTGGGAACAGCAGCTTTGTAATCCTAAGGTGGGGATGATGCCTGGGCACAAGGTCTGTCTTCATGGCCCTCACACTAGGCTGCTTCCAGAAAAACCCAAGCTGAACTCTTGCTTCTGAGACAACTCTTTCACGAATGTGTCACAGATTAGAAGCGCTGTTCTTTTGTGTAGAACAGAGACAGTCCAGTTACTATTGTGCTCAGAGAGCCGCAGACAACCTGGCAGCAAAATCCACTCCGTGCGGGAGTGAGAGCCACACAAATCGCAAAGCAGGGGACAGAAGCCTGACCTTCGCGGGGGGGGGGGGGGGGGGGGGGCGGTTCAGAAAGCTCGGCTTTTGCGCAAAGGCACGGGAAGGAGACTTGGGGAAGCAGCTCAGAGGCCACTCCCAGGGACGGCCACCAGGGAAACCCTAGAGGTATTTCTAAGTATCCAAACTTCGGAGCTGCTAGGACATTGAGGGTGAAGATGAGAGGACTGGGTTCTCCCAACGCTTCCTTTGCCAATCCGATCCTGCTGGAAAAAAATGGATCTTTAATCTTTCATAGGTTGGAATTTGATTTTTCTTTAAAAAAAAAAAAAAAAAAGGAGCTACAAGGGCGAGGTTAATTATTCACCAGGCTGCAATCTACTTAAGAGTTGAGGGAATCCAAGTTTCCTCCCAGGAGGCAGGACCAGGAGTCCAGCTGGATTTTAAGTCTTCCGT